AAACCGTTTTATTCCCAGAGTAATTATCGACACATGAGGCTGTGTAACCATTCTAATTACAGCTAGTCTAAGCAGTACTTTCTGATACGTAATACTATTACTTTTCATTTTACGAAATGAAAATTGAGGGTTTTTTGTTCTGCGTTTATCTTTGGCTCTCGTGGGAGAGCAATTAAGTAAGCATCACTAAATTTCAAGGTGGATCTGTACTAAAGCGTAAGATCCGGACAAACAGCACTCGCTGATAAAGTATGCTTTAAGCTGAAAAGCGCTATTTGCGAAATAAATTAATTGCTGAGCAATGGCTTAAATTTCAACTGATCGCTAAAAAATAGCCTAAAATAACTGCAATTAAACTAATGACTAAGACTACAGGATTACCGTATTCAGGCCTTCAGAAACGAATATGCATGATTATTTAATTAGTACCATCAACTGAAGAACAAGGTTCACAGGGTATGAACATACAGTTGCACACGCGAGTCCGATGAAGTTTGTAAACAAATACAAACTTCATCGATTGTTTCTGATCAGTTTCCAATTATTTTTTGCCGTTTATTAAATGTTTACTTGATAATCTTTACATACAGTCTTGCAGCACGGACCTAGCGACAAACATTTATCACTAATGTCCTACCATAACCTGCGAATACACCAAATAATTTCACCAAATATATGATATAGCAGTAGAATATATTAATAAAGGAGAGAATAGAGTTTTTTAATTCCTCATTTACATTGGCAATTTTTTTCTTGTCAAATTTTCTTTGGTAATGCAGATAGAAAAATATTCCAAGTGCAAGTTTTTTGTTGACAAGTCTTCGTGTTTTAAAGCTGACGTATTAAACAACGAGGCTTGTTAAGGAAAAGCTCATCGATTTTTCCAGCTCTACAAGTCTCTTGTCAAGAAAACGCCACGGACGTATAGAAATTGGCTGTCCGATATCACAGGTTCACAATGTATTTGTAAATGAATACGCAACTGTCTAGAAACAAACTGTAAGCCATATACATGTACACTACCAAAGAGAATTTGTCAATGACATTTGTCGAGAAGAGAATTAGGCTGCTATTGTGAATGATGCTTCTCACTCGTTTTTACCCCCAGTGAAAGCCAGGCTACCGCTGATTTACAGCGTTTCATACAAATACATCACGCTGTACGTTATTTATCATCTACTGAGGCTTTGTAATGGTATGTTTTTTAAATATGATCGCTTTCTTTATCGTTCAGTCCCTTTAGATGGATAGAAAAGTTAACATCCACATCTATAATTAAGACTTCCGTTGCTCTCTGCTGCAAAGATGTTTACCCCGAATGATAAACCATCTGATTCCCAGTCTCGACTAATTGTGCCTTTCTTTCCCTAATCTTGCCAAATTCCTTGAAAAACGCTTGAAAATCATTTTAAATAGTGATATCCACTCGGCGGTATTCAAGACGAACAAGGTTTATGCCGCTATGTACGAAATACGGTCTAATTTTATAAGATTACTGCGCATGCACCAAGAATTAAAATTAAGAGAGATAAAAACCAAGAAAAAAAACGTTAATCCAACAAAAAATATATCTATATAAAGGAACCCTAAGTTTTAAGTAAATGAAATATTTCTCGGCGATAAAGTACTGAGTAAACATGCAGCCCAAATAAACAATTCACGATACCAAGGTAATCGATAACTAATCTGCCGTAATCTGCTTGCGTTGTCGTCGGTAGACGAAACACTGATTTCTTAATCTTGAAAAGAGTGTAAGTTGTTATCACATGCATCGTGGCAAACGTTGCGTTTCTTAGATGCTTGTAAGTGCCTCCTTGTCTGCAGTTACTTGCTCCATCAAGTGTTTGCGGGAATTTTAGATTAAACGACATGAACAAGAAAAAGAAAAGCAAGTAGTTACTGAAGCCACATTTTAGGGCAAACTTGGCTTTAGACCAGGCTGCCAATGTGTAAACCCTATACTGAATTGGAATGAAACACAGGTCGAATAACCTGATAGTGAAGTGGGGTCTTTAATTTTAATTATATCCGGTAAGCCTTAATAAGAAAACTCTTGCTGTCGTCTTTGTCCAATCGCTTATAGAAACACTGAAACAACAATGATAAGACGTAAATGTAATTACAGTCAAGTACAAAGAACTTAAAAGAAAACAAAAAGGAACCTTTCTTTGCAGTTGTGAAAATCGTCTACCGAACGCGTCGCGTTAGCAGAATGCTGTTCCCTTCTAATGCATTAATCGCGAGTTTGAAGGGAAGACAAAGCTTTCACAAGTATATTTTTGCGTAATTACAAACTCTTAAAGTTTCAAGTCTCTAGGGAATCCTCTTTTTCTAAAAGAAAATGGCTTATTTCTTGTCCCAATTCTTTAACGGAATTACACAGGAAAGATATCGTGCTTAATTTTTTAACCTCTGAAATTCTAACAGCCTGTTTGCTTTTTGTTTGTAATGTCATAACACGAGTACTCGTTAATGTTTATGGTCTCCATTCAAAGGTCCGTTGTTCAAACGTAAATCACATTGCAATAATTATGCATTAGTAGCTCATGAATCTGTGTATATCACATTTATTTTGACAACAGAAACAACGGAGGTCGTATAAAATGCGATATGTGTAGAGCGGCTCTCGAAACTGAAAATCACAGTCCAGCAAATCACTTCTGCTCTTCATTTCTGTTTAGTTAGACTAATAAAGTATTTAACGCTATTTATCTTACTGGACTTACGGACAGTAAGAATATGTTGTATCCATAAATCCGTTTGATTTTGCCAAGAGTTTTGCTTCCGATTTCCGTGTGATTTTGTAAAGTATTCGCACAAAAGCGGTGCGAAATTCCTTGTTGAAGCACGTGTAAATTATCGGGTTCGCCGCCGAATTGCTGACAGGCAGGACGTAGACAAAGGTTACAACTATAGCAGTTTTTAACTGCGGTGGAATCTTGGTTGGAGAGAAACAGCCTTTACAGTACTGAAAGGTCAGGAAAATAACGAAAAAAGGAAACCAGGAGAGGATAAATACCCCTACTACAATAGCGAGTGTCTTGGTTGCTTTGAGTTGCTTCATGATCTGCAAACCAGACGATCTTCTGGGCTTGTTGCTGTCTGTTAAGGGGTCGCAGCTACGCTTGCCTATCGATATTGCCTTGGTGCTCGAGGTCGGTGAATTGGCAATACCACTAGTCTCTTCGTTTGCGTCGCGCTCGGAGATAAAGTTGACAGCAATAGCGTCTTTATCCTTTTGCACTTGTCGAGCGTGGCCGATTGCAATCTTAAGCACCAGGACATAGTTAAAGACGAGAACGGCCAAAGGAACGAAAAAGGCCGCGAACGCCACGATAGTAATGTAAACCTTTGTTTTTATGGAGCACTGCGGCGCGATCACGATAGTTTCTTTTCCTCCCCACTTTACAAACGAAAGGGAGGCAACAAGGAGCGCGTATGCCCATACGCAAACTATAACCAAAAGGGCTCGCTTAGAAGTCATGTTTTCATGGTAAGTGAGCGGCCATTTCACCGCTAGCAGGCGGTCGACGCTGATGCTAACCAGGTTAAGAATGGACGCACCACAGCAGAGCATATCAATCCATATCCAATACTGGCAGCCGGCATGACCCAGACTATTAGGAAACTTCTCGCCGTTGACAGTCTGTGCGATCCTAAACGGAAGGGAAAGAGAACCCACCAACAGGTCACTGACGGCCAATGAAACGATCAGGTAGTTAGTCGGCCTTCGAAGACGTGGAAAATAATACACACTGAAGCACACAAGAATGTTGCCTATGATGGTTAGCAGCATAACAAGCGTGTTGAAAGTCGCCGAAGCCACGATGGTGGCCATCGCTGGTGAGGCATTGGTTGTGTTTGTAGTACTATTCCCAGACATCCTTTCTCTGAGGCTTGCACGGAGCGCTTGAGTTGCTATCAAAAGAAGTAAGCGCTTTCATGTTAATTTTCTCATCAACGTAAGCAGTTTGATAAAGCAAAACAAAAGCTTAGGAATTGAGGAGAGCAATTATCCATTGAACAAAGGGATCAATTACTGCCGTTTTGCCAATGAACTGTTTACGTCCTGCGCCAATAAATATATCCTTGATGAAGAGCCCGGGTTGAAGATAACTCAAAGCCCACATTTGAAAAAAAAAATGCTAATCAAATTTTGCAAGAACTTGAAAATAAAAACAATATCAAGTGAAAGTACTACTAAAAGTGTTTCATTAAATGGCTATCTACAAATCTAACGTTTTTCATCGGAGAATGAACAAAAAAAACAAAGTTGATATTTCATGCTAAGGTTTGACTTTTTGGAAAACGGGTTATCTTGGTCGGCTGGCGCGATATTTCAATTCTTACCTTGATTGAAGCAGAATTACACAGCACTAATTCCGGCCACCGTCTAATTGGCTTTATATTATCCTGGAAAAATCTGATTATGACAGAAAAAAAAAAGAAGTTTATTATTCCAACACATATAAAACAAACGCGTGCATCTTATCTGCAGGTTTCAGAGCATGGAATGTTAGAGTTGTAGACTTTCTAAACTTCTCTGGTCATTGCCCTCTTGAAATGTAAACACGACTGAGTGAGTGAGTGTATTTTCATAAATGAAACGAGAGATTGACAATCGTTTATTCTCGGCTTTATTAGCAATTTACTCTTTTCTTTATTAAAAGTACAATCGCAGAAATTAACTTTTCTTATGCTTTTTGAAATGAAATCACTTTTCACAGCATGTGAATATAAGTTTACTAAAATTTAAAGGTCTACAGTAACCATTGCTTGAACGCTTATCGCAAACGCTATTAGCAAAGTTTACAGGCAAAACATTGTAAGGTATCCGGGATCAACAGATATAGTCATCTCCGAGTTGTTCTTTCTTGTTTTTACTTGCACCAATTAAAGTGCGGTGCTTGAGAACTCCATTACAGTGTTTGACTAGCAGAAGATATATAAGCGGAAAGAGACTTGAAGACGCCCAATTATCTACAATATATGTCATACGTTGGTTGCGGGCGTCGCTTACAATTTAAGTGAAGGACTCCAGCAGAAAAATGATTTCCAGTGCCGCGTAATTTTTACGTGCGTACTTGCGTAAAATTTACGTTCGCAGACAAAATGGAAGCAATGCATGAAAGGTCGCTCGTAATCGTAAAAGTTGAACCTCGATCAACCTCTAGTTTAAGCTCAGCACTTTTTTTTTCTTGCCTCTCTTTTATTTACGTGATTAAAATTTACGTGCGTAGCCAAAACCGCGTCAGTAAAAATTAACCTTTAAGGAAATTGCGTTTACAAAGTAATGCTTTTGCGGGGCACACCGATGTTTTCTGTTGAATTGAAAAAGAAAGCAAACGTCATCAGCGAGTTTCCCGCGAGTTCAACAAATAACGTGGTATCGTGCGGAGATATCGTAAACACACGGAATAAGCCTTGAGGTACCTTATTGATTGCGCATCAGTCTAAACTGCCTTCTCAAGTCAAAAATGACCTTTGCAAAGTCAAGAGCTAATACTGTGTGTCTAAACAATTTTGTCCACCGAATGTGTTCTCCTATTTTTCTGTTCGTACAGACTCTCAGTGCTTACTGGTCTTCCGCTATTTTTGACCCTTAATGACCTTTTACATTCAATACTTCTCTAATCAGTTCTTGGGTGTGTTAAACTGTCACGAAGTGTCTTCCTCGATAAATAAATTTGTTTGGTTGTGGTTTTTTTGCTTGTATTTGTATGCCTTCTGTGGGCGTAAGCGCTTTCTCGTATGGTTTATAATAAATATGAGGTTCGAACCTTATCGAACTCTGAAACGTGTGTTCGCGGATTAAAAAAAAAACTTAAAGTTTTTTCTCCATTAACCGGAGATGTAGGCATCAGTTCAGTTTGCATTGTCATCATGATTTGCACAAAGAAGAACACAGCTGCACAAGCTGCACATCGATCGTCGAGACAAAATTTACATTAGCTTGAAGGAATATGTGAAAGAAAGCTGCCTCGGTTTGATCCATCAAGTATGGCGACTTAATCAGGATTCGAAAAAAAAACTTGAATTGAAGCTTGTCCTTAATTGGGTAAGCAGCTTTTACATGTTGCTTGTCCGAGGCCACTTCTTGCTGGTCTTGGTTAATGATTTTGTTAGAGAATGAGTTGCTTTGACCCCTCCCCTTTGGCCAAGTGAGTTTTAAAAGTCACTTGCTAAGCCAGTAAACATGATCTACCAAAACTACTCGTTCGGACTACAGACTGGGGCTGTTCTCAAGCCCTGCTTAATTGGTACTCTTGAAACTAAATTGAATGCAAGAGTATTTTATTCCCATTAAGTTTTTGCAAGAATTAAAGTAAATGGACTTGCTAGCGAAATACCGTTTTTTTTTCACAGCCTTTAAACAACGGATGGCCATATTTGTAAATCAAAGGACTTCATTGAAATCTGAAAAGTTTACACGGCTTTGTGAAGTCCGTTGTGAATTTTCATTTCTTTCGTGGCCCCAAAAGGAGGATAGGTCATGCTTCGTGCATATACAGTTGATGAAAATCTATATCAGAAAAAGATGTTACGTACGATAAGTTTAGGCTCATAGAAATCCAATCTTTCCCTTGACAGACATTTAGCACTGCATTGATTGTTGCTGGATAGGTGGGTTTACTTTACCAAACATTATTTCTGTTAATGTAAATCCTGTTCGGCAAACATGTTTACCACATTAAAACACGTTATTTCACCTTAAACAGCTTTTTTACTGAGCGGGGTGTAACATATTGCGGAAATTCCGGCCGAAGATCTGTCTAATCTTGACCTTTTTAAACCACTGTTTAATTGGAAAGAATTCGTAAAACTACGTTGTTTAACCCTGTGTGCCTCTTTTGCTTTGCGCTCACGGTGTGTTTGTTCATCTGTCCAACATGGGCTAAAAACCTGCTTTAAGTTAATTTGCTTCCGCGCAGCAACTTGAGAGAAAATTGCGTTGAAATGAAAAAGCGCCTAGTACTCTAAGCATTTGCGATTTATTCGTGTTCTGCTCATATGCTCGTTCGCATAGTCACGAAATGCGTCGAAAACTGAATAGCAAAGTAGGACGTGAAATCTTTCAACACGAGCATGGCGCGGAGCTTAAGAGTCTTTTTTACAAGCTTACTGAAAACCTGCGGCACCCTGATTGCACAAGACAACATTAGTGTAGAAGTTCGTGTCATCTGTTAACCAGTCTTGAAAAAAATTGAAATTGCAAATGGTGCGTGTACAATGTCCATACCTTTCACTTATAAAACCTTTCGTGGAAATCTGCTCTTTTTCGCTTTGATCCGTCGTTGATTTAGAGCTCTACTTGCGGCGGTTGCCTGCTGGATATGTGAGTGAAGTCCGTGTGTACCGACTGTACAAAAACAAAGACCAGTGGCTATTTAGCATATGTGCTTGTTCCCACCAATTCGAATTTCCCAAATGATCGCACTTATCAAACGTGCGTCAAGCCGCAGATGGGTTAATCGATATTATCCCTATCGCTATTTATAGAGTCTCGTCAGTTTGATATTTTTTCCGACTTCCTAACTGCAATTTCAAACACAATAAGCTTGTATACGTTTTTCCTTGAAAGCGACATTTTTGCCCCCGATTAACTCTTGCAGCCCACGGACAAAAAATATGATTGTTTTGGTGCTAAATGGTACAAATGGGATAATTTGCCCCGCCCATATTTTAGAAGTTAATAATGCCTTCTTTATTTGTCTTATGACGCTAAATAGAAAGAAAAATCAGTAAGTCTTTGTCAATGTTATTTGACTTCAAAAGTTAAAAGATATCAAAGAAGATACCAAATTGTATTTTGTAAATATTGAGAACCAAACATTACCACGTTAAAGAACTTACGGCGCAGACTGAGAAGCTTGTAGTGTATTGACTCCAGGACTCCGGGAGTAAGTTACAGGGTAAGATATCATGGGAAGAGAGGACGATTTAAATCACGCCAAATCTCGACCGGAATTGAATTGCCGAGCCACATGCGGGGTAAACCGTGGAATACATTTAATTTTGTCGCTGCACGGCGTTGTTGTCTCGTAAAAAGCAAGGTGGTTGTTTCAAGATTATTTTAAGGCTGTTTGTTTGTAGTAATGCAACAGCGATGTTTAGATTTCGGCATGGGAGAGAGAATTAATTAAAATTCATTAGCCACCAAGCTCTGCACCCGGCAGTGTATATTCAGAAGTTTCAAATCAATTCACAATTGCTCATTTAGAATATTCGCTATCGCCAAAGTACTTTTTAAGAAAAACAAAATGTCTCTAATGGTTTTGCATTTTGATATATCCTGCTATACAGAAATGCTAGTCATAACTTTTGTTTTTTAATTCCGGCCTTCTTTGTGAATCAGGCATCTAGCATAGCTATCTAAATGCAAATCTATCCGAGGAGCGGATGTATCATGATTTTAAATCTCCAAAACGAATCGCAAAAGTATTGCTATGTAAGGTATTGAGGTGGAAAATTCATGGTGCCTTAAATAAATGAGTAAAATGATGCTTAATAAAAAAGTTGGCCGTTTTTGAGACAACCTTTTCTTCTAATATTTTCCATTTCGTTATGAATATCTCCGAAGTCTTTTTTGGGTAAAAAGAATTCATATCTCGGAAGCCTTTTCAGTAATATAGTTTACGTTTTTCCCTCTTTTAAACTTAAATTTGAAGCTTTTGATGGCATTTTAACTATTTTAATCTATGACCTCAAATTTAATACTCGTGGAGATTGTAATCCTATTGCTAAATCTCTGCTAGTTTTATAATATAGAGTCTCTCGTTTTTTTTCAATGTGTTATAGCATATTCGATAAGCGGCTTGTTAAAAGGCTCTCTTCCTTTCTAAGATACTACGTTAAGATCGCTAATTTTTTTCGTGCTGTTTTACACGTCACAGTACATTACTAACTTATCAAAGAGCATCACGATGATGTGGGTATAAATAGTTTTTAGAGGCGACAAAATGAATGAATTTCATCTTTTATGAAGATACAAGGTCTATCCGCACGTATCAAAACAATTAGGAAAATTATGCTACAAAAAAAATGCTCTATGGTAAAATGCTTATCAGTTTTTCATGAAGGGCATTCGAGCAAAATCTGCCTTAGTGAGAGATTTTTATGGCTTTTAAAGTAACCATTACATACATTTGAAACAGCCAATTCTTTAACACCACTTAGCCACTTAAATTTCAGGTAGTGCTGCTAGAGAAATCGTAGAATATGGTTGATCCAACTGTTTGGGGTGTAACCACGACGTGAACCGTTGAAGGAAATCAATGACTTGTTTATAGAACATTCTTTATCAATGCGACAGCCAGTCTGGGTCTACCTCAAAGAATAATTTGGGAATCGCGATAAGAAAAAGGATTCACCGTGACTATGATCTATGGCCGGAGTCGGGTCTCAAGTAGTTTTCTCTAATTCTGCCCTCCGCTGTAACACTACACTTCTTTAGTCAAGAGTGCAAGAATTTCAAATGCGAAATTGTGGCTTTCGTTTACCTAAGAGAGTTTTCTTCATGGAAGTACCCCACTTTCCATTGTTGATCTTCTTTACTTAGCTTATTGTAAGAGGTAGATAAATATGTTCCAGTTATGCATTGTGATGAATTACGCTTCTAAAAAACAATTTCACTCAATAATCTTTGAAGAGTCACTAACAAACCATCTTGAATAACAAAATCAATAGGCATTTTTCGATGAGCGAAGGTAAAAAAAGATTTCCTGTTGTATAAATAGATGTTTTGTGAACAGTAAATGTAAATGTGAACAATGATGTATTTCATTATGCCGATAGTTATACAGCTACCCTTTGTAGCTTTTATGTTGAAATTTCAAAGACGTTCTTTCAAAATCGACCGTTTTTAGCTGCTTTCTTTAGTTTCACGTACCGAAGGTGCGGTATATAAATCCAGTTTTAAGGGGGATTATGTTTTTTCCACCCTGGATTGAGAGATCTGTTTTCAAAATATCTACCATGAAATAAGTACTGTCGTCGTGCCGGTCCGACATCTTATATTTGCGACTTCGCCGCCCGTTTTTCACATGCTCAAGCAAAAAAGGCCTCGGGCACCTAAAAGTAGTTTTATTTTGGGTACAAAATTATTACTATTTTGGTGAAGTTGTAGATATAAACGGAGTGTCTTATCGCAAGAACATGTAGATAAAAGGTAAATCCGGATAGTCTTTTTTGTAGGCCACTTTTATAGATATCAGATCATAAGTTTTAGTCAAGAAAGAAAGAGAATTTTCTTCGTGTTTCGAGTGGCGCAAAATGGAGGGCAATGAGAAAAAAGTTTAATGGACGTAAAAAAACTCAGTTAATTCAAAAAGTCATGGAAGAGATCCAGCATCCTCATTCCATTTTCAGTTCTGATTATTGGCTCTGTCCCGCGCTTTACTGGCTGATGCCTTCCCACCATTTTGTATTATTTTCGAGATTAAATCAGTTTTCTACGACGAAGAATGCTGAGATCTGCTAAACTGTAGAAGACGGTCGTGCCGGACTACGGACTCAAACAAAACATGTTCATGCCCAGTATGTGCGTGTTCACAAGGCCCTGTAGAATGTCCAGCGCATTTCACTACATTTTCTTCGAAAATCGCACAAAGCAATTAATACGTTGCAAAATATCTGCCTAAGAGGTTTGATTCGAATGGTAACACCACAGTAATTCGTCCACAGATTAAAAAGTTAGCGTGTTAAACATTATATGGCTACAATAGTACGCCTGCTCTGATTGGCTTCTAAGCGGGCAAGACAGCTAGCTGTCCAAGGCAAATACAATCTGTGTTTATCTTGATCGTGGACATCCATGTTATCTCTGATCAATTGACAGCTACCAGAATAGGTTATCCGCTGACCAGTTTTACGTGACTGTATCGCGGGTTCAAATGTATAACTCACTAAAGCGACGTGTTTTATTAAGTTATCCGCTGACTAGTCATTGGTTTTAATTGATCGCAGGCTCAATAGCGCCAACAAGGCCAATTAATAAATAGCTTATTAACCTCGTCCGATCGGTCATTACAAGGAATATTAGACCTCGGCCTTGATGTATTGACCTCCGAAGTTTTTCCCTCAAGTAATGACCTCACTCTCGGTTAATAAGTGGTATGTCTCGCCATAACTTGTGAAGAAGTGTATGAAAGTATATTAGACCACATTTGTAAAGGAGTGCCTTATTATTTGTTCACAATTAACTGAACCCACGCATCAACGCTCTACAGCTGCCTCGCTTTGATCTTGAAAACTCTGCTGTCCACCCCACAAAGGACTTATGTGCAGGAGTAATGCGTTTGGCTCCAGCTCCTACTTTAATATGCTCAATCCTAGCTGCAACTGATTGTGATTGGAGTAACCAAATTCTGATAATCGCTTTGACATTGAAAATTTATCGTTTACATGACTGTGGCTTCTACGATGATCAGTTATTGAAGAAATTAAGGAATTTTAACGACATTGTATTATAAACGGAATTTTCACGATTGCCCCGCGGCAGTGAAGCGTGGTGAGAGACGTACAAGGAATTTTGCGAAATGTAAAAAAAGATAATAATGATCCAAATGTCAACAAATGATACGGCAAATAAAACTTTTGAATCCTCTTCACTTTATTTATTACAGTAACGTGCTTTAGAGTGTTCAAGGCGAACAGGGATAGCGCGTTTTTTACAATTGTGCGTTTCGTGAACTAGTTTTCAAAGAAAAGAGGTGCTAAATTAAGTCGATTTCTCTGGATTAAAATGATGATTTGCTTTTTAGTTTAAAGCATTAAGTTTTAAGCATCAAGCATTTGACGCAAGATACCCCATCTCACCCTCCCCAAATAACCCCTCCCCACCATCTTCCCCCCCTCCTCCTCCACAGCAAACTGTGACTTACATTGCACAGCAACCACATACATGAATTAATAAGAATTAATTATCATATCGTTTTAGAAACAAAGGTTTTTGTGTTTTTAATTTGTTTGTTGGGAAAAATTAAATGTTAAGCTCTTTTTCGTGCGAAACTCTTTCTTATAGGTTCTATCTTGGTCTTTAACGCGTCCGTAACTATGATGTGACGTTGCCGGCCAGCCCTATAACAACGACATTGTACGCTTTCAATCTCGCTCTGATGGTAAATTTACTTCCAGATTTCCTGTTTCGCTACCACAGACTCAGACTACCTTCTGCAAGTCTTTCAGCTGTTCGTTTGTTTCTTTTATCAAAAAGTTATGTTTGTAAAGAGTTCTTACATTTGAAAGGCAACATTATGATGTCACTCACGGCTATTGAATATTGCAAGACAACTGAAAGCCAACTTTTATCTTTCAAATGACGAATATCCTTGGGTTGACAGCATTCTTGTCATACATTTCAGTGATCACAAAGCGTTTCCCTTTAAATCATGCTGTTTTTAATTCATTTGCTTGATCGGACGATAACTTTAACTACAACTGCACGTCTTTCATGTTCGTTCATTTTTTGCGGTAAAATCGTTGT